GTGGCCAGCCTTTCCAGCCCGTTCTCCCGCACCCTGAGTGATCCACCTAGACTCCCCTGCCTCTCTGTATTAGAGTAACTTGTGTTTGTCCTACTTGTCTTAAGCTGGATTGATTGGATTTTGTTTTTTTATATAAGCATTCATGCCCCCTCAGCTACTAGGAAAACACATCATTTGTTTATCTATGGGAGTCTATGTTATTGTATCCCATCACTTCCTTAATGCAATATTTAAAAACATGCTGTTAAACAATGATAATGTTAAAATGAAGGCTAAAGTAAAAAATACTTCATAACACTTCTTACCCTGTTAAGACTCATGAAGTGACTTCTACAATGTATACCATAATTCTGAAAACAGGGACTTCTAGCCTTATACTACATAGTGAATACATAAAGTTTTCTAGTGAGGGTGGGGGGAAGGAGTGATGTCTAAGGGATTTATAATCAATCTTCAGCAACACTTCCTGCAGTGTAACTTTTATTGTCTCAACATTAAAATAATGAAACTGAGTCTTTGAAAGTTGGCATGACTTTCCTGACCTCATACTAGTTAGTAAATGAGGGGGTGAGATGTAAAGAAAGCTCTGTTCAACCGTGGGTTCATCTCACGGTGTTGTACTTCATATCGCTGTGGTTTGAAAGAATCTCACAAAGTTCCTATGTTAGAAACGTAATCTCCAGTGTAACAATGCTGGGAGGTGGGGCCTACAGGGAAGTGGATTGGTTGTGATTTCTCTGCCCTCATTAAAAAAATTAATGTCACTATGGCAGAGGTAGTTCATTGTAAAAGTGAATTTTGACCCCTCACTCTTTCTGACCTTTCCATCTTCTGCATTGAATGATGCAGTAAAAGGTTCTTGGAGATAACAGCTCTCTGAACTTAGACTTCCCAGGTGTGTGTGTGTGTGTGTGTGTGTGTGTGTGTGTGTGTGTGTGTGTGTGTGTGTGTGTTCATTTAAAATTACCTGGTCTAAAAAATTCTGTTATAAGAGCACAAAGCAGACTATAACAAGAGTGTCTTAGTGAATTGAAGCATAAACATAGGTTCTCATTGTCTTCATACTCCTCATTGGCTGGGCATGATCAGGAACTCTGACAGCACCTGTTGCTAGTCTCTCGTGCAGACTCCAGGATGCCTCATAAGGAAGTATGTTATATTCATGCCTTGGCAACTGGTTTGAGCCAATTTCCTGGACCCTATGGGTGTGTCCTACTACACATAAGGTCTTGATAGCATTGAATTTACAATCTTGCCAATGTATAATGCTATTATGGAAACTATTTGTATATGACCTGACTCTTCCCTCATTAATTATTCATTAGAAAATAAATTAAACTTTTCCTCTAGGAGATGATACTTTAGCCTGATGACAATAAACTTAGAACACATAACCAAGCAAACTCTTGAGTGCAAATAACCATTAGATTAAAAATATTGTGTGTAATCAATCAGAAGAGGTTTTAAATTCATCACGGGACTAGATCAACAAGCTGTCAAATGTTCATGCTGACTCAAGTATGAGAAGCTGTCAGTCTTTGGCTGATGTGACTGCCGGTCTTCACAGAGTAATTTTCTCCAGGAACAAGATCTGAAATACAGAAAGAAACCTGTGTCGTGGGGCAGAAGTGACATGTGTGGGACAGTCTGGGTTAGGTAACCAGTAGGGTCCCTAGCTCTACAAGGACATACAGGGGGAACCTGAAGAAGAGCGAGAGTAAAGAATCTAGTGAAAGGCTGTGTCCAAATTGGGCAAAGTAAATGATTTGTTGAACTTCTGTTTATCAGTGGGAAGGAAAATAAGAATAAAGAAAATTCAAACGCAACTGTGATTGGCTCCATTTGGTTTCCTGTTTTCCTTGCTGTCTGTGAATATAACTATGGAAGATTAATTAGTTTTCTAAATTTAACATTGGACAGGGTTCTGGTAAACTGCAATATAATTTACTTGACATACTTATAATTCATATTTATAAGGCATAAAATTATAAAATATTACAAAAACTTGGGGGGGGTTCTGACATTAAGTACCATTTTGGTAAGGAAAGATGGCGGAGTGGGTAAGAGCCATTGCTTCATAAGCCTGAGGATCCAAGATCAAATCACAGCACTACGTGAAAAGTCAGACATGGCTACACATACCTATAACTCCAATTCTCCAGGAGGCAAAAATGGAAGGATAGTTGTGGTTTGCTGGCCACTAGCCAAGCCAAAAAGACATCAAGCTCCAGGATCAGTGAGAGGCCCTGTCTCAAAGAAATAAAGCAGAGAGGTAACACAGTAGGATACCTCCTGTGGTCTCTGAGCACACTGTGATGTATTGTGCACACATACATGCACAAACACACACACACACACACACATGAAAGAGAAACTTCAGGTTTTTTTAGTTGAATCTGTAGCATAAAATATATGATGAGAAAATGGAGGGAATTGGAAGCAAAGCAGAAATTAATCAGTCTGTCATATTTCCCAAAAGTGTCCATGGATTTGGAGTAAGCTTTTCGTATAAGATCACTGACCTTTCTAAAAATGTTTGCAAGGAGTATATACAAGAACTGAAAGAGAGGGCCACCAAGATGGCTTGGCAGGTAAGGGTTCTTGCCACCAAGCCTGTCAACCAGAGTTTGATCTCTGAAACTCACATGGTGGAAAGAGAGAAGGGACTCCTCAAAGTTGTCCCCCATATGTGTGTGCCTTGACAAGCATGTACACACACACACACACACACACACACACACACACCAAATAAATGTAAAAACTAAAATTTTTGAAAAGTTTAAAAAATGGCAGAAAGAAAGAAAGAAAGAAAGAAAGAAAGAAAGAAAGAAAGAAAGAAAGAAAGAAAGAAAGAAAGAAAGAAAGAAAGAAAGAAAGAAAGAA